CGTGCGGTGCACTCGATATCGTCAAATTAATCACGCGTTTCAACAAATGATATTTATATATTCGCCATCGACGCAGGAATCGGTCGCGTCTGCGATAGGTTTGCGATAATTGCCGTTCATTCGTGCCTAGACAGCGCATATTTGATTAATCACGGAGTCGAAGTGAATCAACAGCCAGCGGGAAAATCCGATTTCCGAACTCTGGTCGTTTGCGTTCGGCCAAGCGGAAAAGTTACCGAAGTTACCGAGGTCTTGAGATATATGCGTACTCCCGCGCGGTAAATAAGTACGATAGCTCGACAATTTGTGTGCGAGCGACGTTAATTAATGAGGCTCGCCAGTTTGCTCGGAACAAAAATTAAGTAGGGAGACGCGAGTTTCATCGTGATGCAAATTTCGTCGCACTCGAGTGAGGAATGAAGAAAAGTCGGGTCGTTCCGACAATCTGACACAGGAATTTCAACTTATAAAAGAAAAGTTTACTTACTCACCAGAGAAAAGTTCGCGAAGCTGAATGATCGCTTTGATAAATAAAATTTTTAGCTTGTTTCGCACGAACGAGAAATGAAAGAGATTAAAGGGACGCGGAAATCCTGCCGGAAAAATCGGTGCAGTTATTTCGCCATACGCGACTCTGCAATCGAGCACGTTTAATACGGTTCAAGCTGTTTCGACTGATGCCTTTTTTTTGCAGCTTACAAACCCGTCGGGCAAACGAAAAGCCCGACCGCTTGCCCAGCGACGACCCTGTCGCCGTGGTGAAATTTCATATTAATAAAGCTCGGTCGCATTCGAGGTATCGAATAGTTATTGTCCGTGAGAATTGCGGATACGCGAGCGGATACGTCGCGTTACCGCCGATCGAAGCGCCGGCCGCGCGGAAATAATAATTAAAAAAAAGGGAATGTAAATTCCCGACAAGAGCGCCGGAAAAAATCAATAATTCGTACGCGCGATACGAAAATTCGCGCGGCGGCGTGCTCGCTGCGTTTCACCGATTTCCGTCGATATTTATTCGCGTCCCGGCACGATCTTGTAACCCCAAAATGTCAGCACAACCTCTCTCCACCGTTACAGGGGCGGCCGTCAATCGAGCCTGTTCCTGACCTGTTGGTAATCTCGCGTTGTATATTGTCCGCTCGTTCGTTCGCTTGCATTTCGCAAATAATTATCTCGCGAAAAATGCCACCTCCTGAAAGCGATCAGCGGCGGCCTTTGAATCGCGGCCGTGCTCGGTTTCCCGGTGAAATATCACCGTGACACCACGACTACCACCGCATATTTCACGCGAGCCGCTGCGATATCGCCGTTAATTATTCGCCTTGAATCGCCGTTGAATTCGCCGGGTGCCGTGTATTTCATTTCGAGGCTGTGCTGAGCGAAAAAAAAAACGCGTCAAACCCGCCAAAAATACGCAAGCGTATTTTTGCCTCCAACCGTACCAATTTTTGTTGTTTTAATAAAGAGAAACGTCAACAGCAACGTACATATAAATCTATTAAATTTATTAATTTCGTATTTATTATTTATATATATTTTTTATGCATGTAAGATTATATAATATATATAATCCTGCCATATATATATATCGTATAATGTCAGCTTCATGTTGCTTTTTGATTTATTACAATCCGATTATGTTATGTAAGTACAAAAGCATTCATATTTTTCACATATCGCAATATTGAAATGAAGTAAAATGCCTTTTCCACGTATTACATGGAAAAAGAGCTACTTTCAAATTATTATATCCCGAAAATGAAAAATCATACCGAAACGAAAGTACATTTCAAAGCTAAAAAGTTGATACTTTCGCGTGGCATTAACGAAATAAAAAAAAATATTGCTGCCGATGCTACAACGTCATGAAACCCGGGAAATCGTCGTTTTTGGCCTTTTTAATTTTCCTCAAAATTATATATATATTAGCCAAATTTGAACGATTCGTGTTTGGCAGGCAAAAATATATCGTAAATGACTATTCGCATCCGTGATGCGAAAGAAAGGTTAAATCTCGTCGGACGGTGCAATTATTCCGCTATGCGATTGTGGCGCACAAACATCGGAAACTCATCTCTCGTAGAAGTGTAGAAGATAGTCTCACTCACCGGCATTTTAATTCCGCACTCTAATTTCCATATTTTAATTTCGCCGACCTTTTTAATCTCGCAATATAATTTCGATATTTTCATTCCGCCGATATCTCTAATTTCGATCTCAATTTCGGAAACGTCTTCTCCCGAGGGTACTTCGAGGCCGCTTGATGAAACAGGGGATGCGGCCGGCGGCGTGATTCGCATCCTTTTTCTTCGCTGAATCCCGTCATGGTTCCTCCCTGCTCGAACGAGTGATCGAGGGAGGTGTCACACCGGCGATTCCTCTCCTTCTGCCGTCCTTTCGCCCGTGCTTCCGCAAGATACACGACCGTCGAGCCAACTGTGTCTGTGACCGTTCCATTTTCTGGCAACCGCCGACCGCACGAGACTCCACGTCGCGAATTTGCGTCGGCGATTCGGGGAATATCCCTCTGTTCGAGATTTATCGCGGGACACCGCGACGAGAGAGTGTTGTCGTCTGGTAACGGCACTCCGATGCGATAACTCACAATTTGGTAGTCGCGGCAGCGTTGGAAACGCATGAAACTTCGATTCCCCTGCGATACGACGGGCGATTATCTTTCACAAATTTCAAATCTGTATCTGTATCTATTGTTACCCGAAAACACGCCTTTTCCTTCCACAGTTGCATCATTTCTGATTATTCTCGCACAGATCGACAACTCATAATCGCTATTATTATTGTGCGCGCCCCTTCATAGTTTTTTAATAAAAAAAACTTTCTACTCTCTCCTCCTCTTCTTTTTCTTACATGCCGAATATATCGCTGTCGCAAATCGGAGAGGGGGAGAAGGAAGAAATAGAATTCGCCGAAATTCGTCGCTGCGGAGGGACGAAACCGCTATACCGAGCTGCCGCGAACGATGTAACGATTTACATTTGTCGAAGTCTTATTAAAGTTCTTTCGTTGTTTACGCATCGTGTCTTGCCGTCCCCTCGCTCAAGATGCCCGTTGCAATTCCACGGTAATACATTTCGCGTCGTTCGGCGAAAGCTAATTTACTACCTTGAGTTTTTCTTCTAATTCCGCCCGACGTAACGTGCACTTCCTCTCGCGCGCTTCAGTTCATACCGTATATTGCTCGCGAACGTATATCCCGGTTAATGTTCGAGGTGGGAATAAAAACGAGCAAAAATGTAAAAGGACGAGCATCCGGCCGGTGCATGCCTCGTGTAAAATGCAGAGCCGCACGAATAACTATTGAAGCTGACGGAAAGCAAGCCGGCTCATAAACTTCGGAAGAACAGAAGTCAGATCTCAATTTGCGCCACTTGTTTATCGCGGTTAAATATTTGATCGGGCCAGAAATGAGCACTCGCGGTATATACGCGGGATAAAGAAAAGAGGATATTATTAAAAATCGATTTATATAGGAAATTCATCGCACGAATTACAATTTCTTCATTAAAAAGGGATTTTCCCTCTTCACCGTGATGTAACATTTTACTGCAACTACAAGAGAACTCCTCCTCTCGTCAATTTCTGCGATCCAGTCGTAGATTCGATTTTGCATTTTTAACAATTTACTTCCACGACTGTACTTTGTATTTAACTTGGACGGTTTTATACTCTTGAATCAACAAGCGGAGAGAATTTTTAGGGGAAAAAAGCTCGAGGTGGGGTGGTATTCATCTGTCGCTTGACCCACCGGTCTCGACGTGCACGCTCGAGGCTTTCATTATTCATGACAACCACAGTTGGCAACCGCGAAATTGCATCTCCCTCGGAGACGGCGGCCGTCTGGCGGGAAAAGATCGGTTAGGACAACGACACCCGTTCAAATCTCTGACGTCATCGACGACGTTTCGTCAGTGGCCAAAATCAATCGGCGATGCTCTTGACAGCTGTGCGGCGGTCTGCGCGACGCATTTAGACGCACGGCTTTACGTCGGCTAGCGCTCTCTCTCTCTCTTTTTCTCTCTTTTTCTCTATTTTTCCCGCACGTGTTCGCGAGGAGGACGTTCTCCTGCCCTGGTAGTTTCCCTCGAAACGCGTTTTATTTGCGGCTTTGATTATTTTTCCACCATCGTGTTCCTTTCGTCGGCGAGAGAAGAAGAGGGAAGAGAAAGAGATAGAGAGAGAGAGAGAGAGAGAAAGAGAGAAAAAGATAAATGAGTCGGTAAATCATGGTGTCTGTCCCTTTCTTTTTTCGCCTATTCGCCCATCCTTTTCTCTTCCGGAAGAAAAAGCGTAAGGTGCAAAGAAGGTACCGGCTAAACGTGAGCCGCCATTCTGAAAGTCAAAAAAAAGGGTCGGGAGAACGCCGACACATCCGGTTAAAAGAGCAAAAAACAAATGGAATCGAGCATGCGCGAGTAAAGCATCCGGCTAATCTGCTTTGGAAAAAGTTGCGCAACGGGAGAGAAGCGGGAAAATTAATTATCCCGTAGAACTGGAAAATTTGTTGTTCGAACCGTTCGATTCGGAGCTCTTTAATAAACGAGTTGCAGATTTATCGTTTAATTGGAAGTGGGGAGCTCTTGTAACAAGGTGTGTTTTTACTATCTAGAAATATTATTCGCGTTCCATGCGAATCTTTTTAATTAATACCCTCGACACGAAACTGGTATCAATTCAATTGATTGTTTGTATCGCAGATATGACAGATTCCCATCGCGTTGTGTTATCTGCTTGGAGGATGAAAGGATTGATGTGTTTGTACGTGATATTTTTTCACAGAAACGTAATGCAACGAGCTTGTAATGACATTTTCAGGGAATATATCCCGATATTTCTATAACGATATTAGATTCGTACATCATGTCTATGTTATCCTTATTTCCCCTTAGGCTTTTTACGATATTGAATCTATCATAAAAAGTTCTCTCCTGAAGGGCGAGACGAGCGTCTGTAGAATTCACCATCTTTTATTCTTATTGCAGATGTGCCGAGCGAGCAATCCGTTTTTGTGATGCTGAACGGGGAAGAGAGCGAGCTTAGATTTTTAAATATCGTCAATCCAAAGGTGAGAGCATTTATGGGAAAAATTACAAATACTGCAATTTGCTGCTTATTAAATACAAGAGAAAGGATACGGATCTTGAGATAGGATCGACACGACGATTACACGATACGTTTGATACATCTTGCACGGAATACTTCGTTAAGAATTAAAAAAAGAAAAAGATTAGAATTAATCGGGAGAAATTAATATAAACTGCCGGCTACAAGTGCGAATATAAATGGATATTCGAATGAATTAGCATACACCGAGTTAATTGGAGAGCGGGGTAACGAAGGGCAGGAAAGAATTAAATCGAAGTAACGGAGCGCACGGAGGAATTAAACGGAAGCGATAAGAGTCGGAGAATTATTAGAGATTGTATCTTTTAATTACCTCTCTCTCTTTAATCTCTTCTTAATTTCCAATTCAAATACGACTTCGAGAAATTTCGTTTGCTCGTCCGATCCATCGAGATAGACGAGCGAACGGAGTTCCGGAGCCTCGAATGAACGAATCTCCGGCGACGAGCGAGACGTTGAATCACAAACGTGATGTTCGTGCAGAGCGAATTGGACAAGATGCCGCTGCCGGACGCTTTCGTCGTGATGTACTCGGTGATCGACAAGGCGTCCTTCCAAAGGGCCGAGGAATATCTCGCTCGACTACACGACCAAGATCTTCTTCGTGGTAGACCGGCTATTTTGGTCGGCAACAAAGTCGACTTAGTTCGCTCCAGAGTGGTCTCGCCTCAAGGTAAGAGCCAGGTCATCTTCCTTTTTCACGTATATCTACTGCTACGCAGTTAGGTCAGGCGATTTTATGACACTCCACAGAATCGATCGTTCGGCTGAAACGACGGGGTGTATCTCAGGTGCTTCTCCAGGTAAAAATAAGCCCGCCGTACTTGATCTCTGGTACTTGTTTCGAGAAAGGCAAATTCACGCGAATTTGTCGGAAGTGAAGTAGCTCACTTGATTAAAATGAAAAGTGGTGGATTTCATATGAAACTCGAGAAGCGCAAGAGTATCCATCTCGTGGATTACCTGTTTTATATTTTGCCCCCACAAATCTATAATTCCTTTCATCGTCTTTCACACATACACACACAAGACATGGGACACAAAGATACTCGAGATTTTCTTTATCGACCTTCTTTGTAATCCAATTATATTTTGTTCCTGAAAAATCAACGTAACAGGTAGATGACAAACATTAATCGTGGCGTATATAAATTAATGTTTCAATTTCAATTCATGAATATTTAATTATAAGTCACTCGACAGGAACCAATAACTGTTATAAACGGATTGTTTGATGGCGGTATTACTTTATTATTATTATTATTATTACTTATTACTTCAAAATGTCAAAACGGTAAACGAACGTCAGGTTTAAAATATATATTCAAAACATATATCTCGAGTATCATAGAGAGTTAAAATACGATCCCGACTATCCGGCTCGTGCCAAGATCGGTATCTCTTCGTTATCGGGCTCTGCCGAATCGTGCGTTGCAGACGGGAAATGCCTGGCCTGCACGTACCGCGCCAAGTTCATCGAGGTGTCGGTGGGCATCAACCACAACGTCGACGACCTGCTGGTCGGCATACTGAACCAGATCCGCTTGAAGGTGGTCCAGGGCCAGCTGGACAACCGCGGCGGCGGCAGCGAGGGTAGCGGTCATTGGTACAAATCCAGGGGTGTGGTGCGCGCCAGCATGAAGGCCAGGCAGATGTTGACGTGGCTCTTCGGCAAGGAGGACAGCAAGTTCAAGAATTGCGAGAATCTCCACGTACTTTAAGCCGAAGCGATCGGCGGAAATCGTCGGGCCACTTCCGACCTCCGTTCTTCGGGACGTAGTAAGTACGACTCGAGGAGGGAGCTCCGCCGTAAGACGTTTCCGGAGGAAAAGGAGGGAAAGAACGACGGGATTTCCGCGCGTCGATCGAGAGCGAGATCAGTCGGGATCGCGAGAATGTAACTCGTACGTGGTCGCGCGACGAACGAGTTCGACAAGTCGACAAGCAACTCGTCAAGCCGAACGCCGAGTTCTCGTAACCGGGGTCGTTCAGGGCTCAACGAGGATACCTCATTATCCTGTCTGGGGGG